GGAGGGTCGCAGCGTGGGGCTCAACACCGTCTACCGCGACTACACAGCCTACCAGACCTTCCTCTACCGCCGCCGCCAGCTCATCCCCGGTAAGGCTGGGGCTTGGGGGTGGTTTTCTGCCCCAGGGCGTTGGGTTGGGACCCCCCTGGGCTGCGGGATCCCCTCCGGAGGATCTCTGCCCTGGGGGGTGCTCACCAGCCCACACGGGGTTGTCCCTCTTGGACACCTCGTCACCTTTGCTGCTGGTTTCTAGGAGGCTGCCGGCAAACCCGGGGCTGGCGAGCACGGAAGAGTTGTGGCTTTTGTTCTGTTTGCACAGGGAAGTGCAAATAGAAGTGTCTGTTCACAAGTGTGGAAAGAGCACTTAGTCGCTGGGTAAATATTTGTTTCCTGATGCTGGGACCCCACGGCCGGCTGGCATGTTGCTTAGATCTACGGCAAGAGGACAAGGCGCTTGAGTTCTTGCTGTGGTTGGGTTTAAATGATCCAGAGCTGAGGGATGTGGAACATCTCAGCTGTCCATCTGCTCATTAACTCCGTCTTTTCTTACAAAATTATGTGTCTTTCATCCTCCTCCCCTTGAGAGTGTCATGGCTTGGTGGCTTTTTCTCCCCTTTCCCTCCTGGTGGCTTCGTCACTGCCCGTGACACAGGGCTGTGTGCCACCCAGCCCTGGAGATGGCCACAGGACTTCACCCATGAGGACATTTAATTGTGTCAGTGGCCAAGTGCCACCTCGGAAGTCATGCAAGCCCTAGCTGTCCAATGTCGAGGGTGCAGGAGGAGAGTAGAGAGATGGAAGGAGGACGTGAGCCGCCTTCCGGAGCCGTTCTTGTCTCTGGGCTGCGCTGGGGGGGGTAATTTTCTCCATTTCTGGCTGACCAGACCTTGCCATCTGCTCCAGGCACCCCCATTGCTCTGGAGCGTCTGTCTTTTGGCGGTTTGGGTGAGTTTTATTCCCCGTTATCCTGCAGTGAACGTCTGCAGGGAAGCCCCAAGCTGCTGCGAGCACGTTGGGATTTTGCTGCCGGGATCGTGTGTGACGGGAGCCCCTAGAACCTCAGGGCGAAGGGCCAGCGCCGGGAGGGATTGGCCCCAGCACCACCCCGAACTCCTGCAGCTTGGAGCTGATGGTTCCTGGCCCTTGCCCACCGCATGGGGAGGGTCAAACAGGGTCCTTGGGGAGCGGAGCCTCACCAGAACTCATGGGATGGGATTTTTTTTGTCTCTGTGCGTCTGCAGATTCATTTTCTGCTTTGTGAGAGGGACACGGGCGCGTGATCGTGGGAGTGTTTGACGGGAGTGAAGGCTGCGGGCTGCAGAAAGCTGTGGGTTTGGGCTCTGCAGCCAAAATCGCTTCTTGTGGATCCCGCGGGGTCCTGCTCTGTCCCCAGCAGCGACGTGACAGCCTTCCCGATGGCAGCCTGCCGAAAACGTGCCATCATCCCGAGGTCCCTGCGACTGCTCCCTCCTCGTGTTTTGTGGATGAGATCAGCCGTGTCTGCGTGGTGTTTGAAAAACGCAGGTTTTGTCATGGAAACGGGGCAGCGCAGAGGAGGGAAGCCCGGTGGAGATAAGACCCCCCCCCCCCGCCTTCCCTCGCCCCCACCGGGTTTATCTGCAGGTTCCTGGCAGGGTGGCGGGTGCTGGCACCGGGGTGCTGAGCTGCAAGACAAGAAAAAGGGGGAAAAAAGGATGTTCAGGCTGCGGGGCAGGGCTGTGCGATGTGTGGTGTGTAATCAGCTTCAACAGGGAGCAGGAAGAGAGGAAAAGCCGGGTTTAATGGGCAAAGGCTCTGGGCTCCTCTGCGTAAGGGGATGTGAGCGAGCCCTAGGACACAGAAACGCTTTTCATGCTGGGATTTGTTCTGCCCCAGGA